CACAGGAGTAGTCCCTTACGTCCTACTTGTATTGGGTGGTGTGTGTGTGTGTGTGTGTGTGTGTGTGTGTGTGTGTGTGTTTTACGCATGCTGGAAAGCACTGGAAAGGAACAGTTCCTTGCAGTGTAGCTTTGCTTAGGATAAGCAACACTTAAATTGCAGGATGTGGGGAGAAGACTCTTAACACCTGCAGGGAATCTGAGCTCTGCATTTCAGTGCAGGGTTCCTTATCCACCTCATTCTGCTCTGCTGCATAAAGAGGACAATGCATCACGATTCACTTCTTAGAATAACAGCATCTCTTTTAAAACAATTTTTTTTGAAGCTCTGAGAGCTTACAGGCCTCCTCCGACCTGAAGCACTGACATTAGTGCTTCCTGCACCCTAACCTATGTTTTGAAGAAAGCATGTTGCATTACTGCTGTCTGTTCATATTTTCCATGTAACCAGATTTATCCTAGCTGCCTGCTGACAGCTGCTTGATGTGAAATGGCAACTGTCCATGCTGTTTGTCTCTGGACTTTCAGTACTGTGGGTATACAGCTCCAGGTCTCTGCATTCAAGACTGTGGCATGAGGAATGGCTGACTCATGCTTCAAGCTGGAAAGTTACCCTTAGTGGGTGGGGAGGAGAGAAGTGAAACTTTAATATATAATAAAAAATAAAAAAAAAAACAAGGGAGGGGCAGGGAATACATTGTTTACAGTCAGGGTCACTTGGAAAACATACCACTCCTCCATACATCACTCTCCTTTCTGAGGAGCTTGAAATTGAGGTCAAGAACAGCTGGGCTGTTACTTTCAGCCTGTTGTTCTTGGTTCCTGGTTTGCTTTTTCCGATCTTGGTGAAGGAACAGAGGGGGTTTTGTTCAGTTTTCCCCACTGCCATGGGTTCTTCCTTGATAGTGTCAGGAACTGATAAGCTTTTTCTGCAACAATAAGGAGAAGTATGATCTTCTCTGTGATCTTGTTAGCCTCTTAATAGGTGTTAAGCAACAGGTGGGTTGATTCAATAGGCAAAGCCTCTCCTTTGGTGGCTGGGTGGGTTGGCTAATGTTTGAAGGAGTCTTTCTCCTCTGAAGTAAGGAGGAGGTAACACAGAATCAGGAGAATGATGGATCATCAGGAGTAAGAGGGAAAGCTCCTTAATTAAGAGACCTGGGTCTTGGCTGGCTTGAGAGAGAGAACTGTAACTTCAGAATACTTTAAGCAAGTGTGGGGTCTGTATGTGTGGAGACTTGGCTCCGTTTACAGCTAAAGGCAGCTTCTGTACATTATTTACTCTAAGTTTAGAACTGTTTTTGGCCTGCACATGTACTTAATAATAAAAACATTATACTGCAAATCCATATCTGGTAACTCCAGACAGTGGTTTTACTTTACTTGTTTTAATCTGATGAGGTGAAGACCCTTTTCTCCTTAAATCTTTACAATACATTTTAAAACTCTGGTGCTGTGTATACTGCCTATGTGAGATTCCTTGAACTGCTCTACAGCAGTAATCACAGTAACTTCAAAGCTCAGGGCCTGGTTATTGGAGGTGCTTGCACTCTCAATAGAAGATGTGCTGGAGACTGGAAGACTGCACCTAGGATGATCTAAAGAGAGGTAGCACTTACACTGCCAGCAGTTGGGAACGGCTGCAGAAAGGAGTCTGAGGGTACATCTGCACTACAGGGGGGAGTCGATTTAAGATACGCAAATTCAGCTACGTGAATAGCGTAGCTGAATTCGACGTATCGCAGCCGACTTACCCCGCTGTGAGGACGGCGGCAAAATCGACTTCTGCGGCTTTCTGTCGACAGCCCTTACTCCCACCTCCGCTGGTGGAGTAAGAGCGCCGATTCGGGGATCGATTGTCGCGTCCCGTCGGGACGTGATAAATCGATCCCCGAGAGGTCGATTTCTACCCGCCGATTCAGGCGGGTAGTGTAGACCTAGCCTGAGATATGCTGCAGAAAAGAGGCAGGGCAAGAAAGACAAAATGTTGAACAGTGAAGGGGAACCCCTAGAGTGACCATACCTCACAGGTTAATGGGAATTAACAGCACATCTACTTATATTCCTTAGAACGTTGAAGCGATTGAGATTGTGTGTGAGAACAAGAGTGCAGTGATCTGACGAAAACACTTGGCATTGCGATATGGTCTTTTCTGTTCCATCAGCTGCCTGTTACGATACTTAGCGGTGGTAGTGGCTTTGCTGTCTTTGTATAGAAGGATCATTGCTCTTGTCCATTGGAGTCTAACCTGACTTCTAAAAGCAAGGAAATTGACAATGAGTTGAGTTGTTTGTTCTCCCTGAACTTTGAGAGAGGGCTTTACATGTCAGTGATCTCATTTGAAGATGCATATGGGATGGGGAAGAAATTTTTAGAGAGTATATTGTATAGCTGGGATAGATTTCTGCTTGAGAGGTGAATATGGATTAAAAAGATGTAGAGTCTAGAGTGCATTTGACCTTTCTCCAACTTTCTTGAGGCGGGCAGTAGCAGTTTTAGTTCTCATTTTCTTATGAGATGGGAAACTTCTGATTTATTAGGGAAGTATGTGGTCTGTTGCTGGGAACTTGCCTGGAATCACAGCCTTTCTGGGAGCAGAGGTGTAGACTGCCTTAAAGCTTGAGGATTCTTTCCTGCAGTGTGTGCATAGAACACTGTGAACTAATTGGAATTTAATGCTGACTAGAAGTAAATTCCTTCATTGAACTTTGGTCTCTCCTTGCATGCATTATACATGCTTGGTTCTGCTGAGCTTAGTGTTTTATTGAGGCTATTAAATGCTAGAAACTTCCAGTGGAGTCATTCTAGCTGTAATTGGTTTCTGAGCAACTCACCACAAAGTACAGGCGCAACCATAATATATGGGGTCCGTTCTTTTTATTGTATTAAAATATTTTCAGGACTGATGATTACTTTGTTTACATTTTTGGGGGTGAGTTTAGTACTCAAGAAACTAGTAGGAATCTATGCCAATGGCTAGATTCATGCTGTGCAAAGCTGTCACACGCAGATGGTCAATCTGTCCTGCACTGCAGCACTCTGTATAATGCTTGCAGTGTACAACATGACCATACCCAGAGCACATGCTGCTAGAGGGGAAAATACCTTTCACCTTCAGAGCTTGGCAAGCTGTGCAGAGCGGTAGCAAACTGTTCAGCATCCATCAGCTTTGTTATGTCAGTTGCTCAGTGAGCGCATTCCTTTGGAACGGACCTGCTTTCAGGATGGCTCATGTTTTCATTTCAGTTTGTAGCGTAATGGGAACTAGCAGGCACCTGGGAAATGTCTAAAACAATACACTGGTGGAAAAGAAAGCTGTAGGCTGTAGCCTTGAAGTTACCCATATGCCTGGGTAAAGCATAGTTGACGGTTGCACTTTATGTTTTGACACCAGCAGACTTGTTTATTTTCTCTCCAGAGGTGCTGAGCAGCTTCATCTCCTGTTG